GCTTGAGAACACATAATCTGTAGCCTTTTTTCCATTATCTTATTTGTCATACAGGGTTAATTACCTGTTAGTATCTTAATATTAAAGTAACTTGATTACTTTCTGTTACTTTTGGATTACCTCAACCCCAAATATGAAAAACAACAAAAAATAAATATCAATAAGTATGGATGCAAGTGTTTCCTGTAAGACTACAGAACAATGGGACATTTCAAAAGAGAATGGAAACAATAAAAATGCAAATTAATGCTGTATTTTTCATTGTGTATTATTATTATTATATATATTTTTATATATAATAATAATATTTTATTTAAATTTTTATATATTTTTTGTAGTTACCTTTTTTAAATATCCTGATTATGTAACTCAGTTACATGTAATCCGTTACTCTCCAAGCCTAGTCATACCTGTAAACGTCACATTGGACCGGAAGCCGTTATCCCGAAAACAAACGGTCGTAAAAAATCACTCACTATTTTAATGTATATTTTAGCCTAAAATTACAAATATCTCATAATTAAATGTGAAATTTAACATTAACGTTAGCTGAACCTGTGGTAGACCTACACAGTACAGTTTCATACCAAAAATTCACCAAAAAGGCTATTTGTATAATTTTAATGAGTACAACAATAGACCTTTTACCACATAACACATTGTTTTCTTTGTACCTTCTGAGCCATTGTAGACACATGGCATTTCAATATGGCGGATTCAATGGAAGACGGCCAGAGGAGTGTGTAGATATAAACAGCTCATTCTAAGGTAAAGAAAACATGACGAATCTCATATTCAGGTGATTATACACAAATGAAAACATATCTATGAATATTATATTCCGTTTCTGACAATAGAGCCTCAATGTTACACTGCCACGGTAGTTTCTCCTACATGCTTGAAAGGGGAGAGTGAGGCGAGGAGTATTCAATTGGTTGCAATCATACACAATGTTCCTTTAAAACAGCAGTTTGCAGAATTTTTTTTACCACTAGTAGCTGATGAGCAAAGTTTAATAACAGTTTTGTTTGTTTACAAGAAAACTCCACAGGGCATCCTTAATATCACCAATTGTAATGAATGTTTGAATAAATTTATTTGGTTCTAATTAATCATGAAATTCGGGTTCAGGTAGATCATGTGTCAATGCAAACCTCGTCTTGCTCCTCCACACAGTTTGAGATAGCTGCCAATCACCCTAACTTCTTGTCTTTACCACAACAAGTTTAAGTTTACTAATTATTATTTTACCAGGCACGCTGGAGTGTTTGAAGTCTGGATAATGGATTTTTATCTGTATAAACTCTGCCTGCTGTAGCACTTCTTTCCACCTTGCTTTTGACATATTTGTGACTTTGAACGCTGTTAGTTGAGAACAACAGCACTGATTTAAATTAAGTTTAGTGGAGGTATATTGATATTAAACCAAGGCAGTCAGGTGGAATAATTGGTACAGGAAAGTGTTGTATATGGAGTTTATTATATGTGGACATTTTGGGGAAAAACACCAAATTTAATCAAGTATTTTCTGAGTTATACTATCTCCAAATTAATTTCAATGTGACCACTTCTAACACTGTGAGCTTATATTTTAGAAAATTGAATGTTGAAAAGGTGCGTTTACCTATTGAGGGTGATATGTCCATTAAATATTAAAAATCAAGACCTATATTTTAGAGAGGAAGTTCTTGTTATTTTCCCCAACACCCAAGTCTAACTTGAAGACCTTGACTATGGTAATCAGATGTTATGGATTAACAAAAATGATATGTTTCCCTCCCTAAGAATATCCTCAGGCTTAAGTCTCCATTAACAGGGAAATGATAGCAAAGTAATTGGACACAGCAGAGAAGTGTGACATTTTTACTCGACAAATATCTTTTCTGAACAGGTGGGGGCTCTACTTTGTTCACCCTCTCTCTCCTGAACAAATGCGATAACAGCAGCAGGACTAACGAGATTCAACAGACAGGATTTCACCTCAAGGGGTCGCTTCAAGCTTCCATGTAGTCGCACATTTGCGGTCCTCCACAAGTGAGTAAATAATGGGAAAAGAAAGGTAAGTGTGTGTGTGAGCAAGAGGAAACATACTGTTTACATATGATTTAAACAAATATTTAAATCCCTTACTGTAAAAGTATAGACACCATAATGTAAACGACAAAAAGTCTCCGTTATAAAAATGTTCTTAGATAAAAATATTAGCAGGAGAAAATCACTATTAAGCACTAATTTGGTTATTTGAAGGTCAACTGGGTTGAAACTTGGACACTTTTTTATGGTTACACCTAACAGTTGCTTCAACACTATTTCATTGAATATATTTCAGTATGTATAGTCAAGACCTGCTGCTTCACATTAAAATAATAGTCATCAAATACTGCTGAAACGCTTTGGATTAATCGGTAAGTTGCTGGACAACTCAGATAATCAGTCATTAGTTAAAGCTTAACGTCACTCATTGTGACACTGAAACAGGAACAACATCAGCAATATTGTCAGCTACATACACAATACTCACATACCTGAAAACCTTTTGCTCACTGTTATTGTCCTTACTTTCCATACTGGTTCAGTTACAACCCCTCAGCAAGGAAACAATGTCTGGGAAACAAATAGAGGGAATTTTTGTACCAAAAGATACACACCTGGTTTGTCTAATGAAGTTATACCCTCGAATTTGGCTTTAGAAAATCTATTATTATCAACATTTTTACAAAGAGCAAGGACTCTCTTACACTGGAACTGTGTTGGGAGAGGTTTAGTAAGCAGGGACAATTACAGTGTCAGTGTACATACACACATGTGAACTACTGTTTGAAGATGTGAAAAACCTGTGAACTTATCCTTTAAAGTGGACCTCCGACGTGTGCAATATGTGGATGTGTTCAGTTACTTTTCACATCTGACGTTAACCTGTCAAAGTTGCCTGCAGCAACAGAAGCCTGAGCTCAGTGTGTGTGTGTGTGTGTGTAGAGGTGTCTGTGTGTGTGTGTCTGCAGTCGGGAAGATCGGGTGACGGGCAGTTCAGGAGGTTGTTGGGAGGCTCTGGGATCCAAATAGCTCCACACTGCCCCTCTCACGCTCACACTCGCACACACACAAAGAGTTTCATCCCCGACTCACAAATCACCAACGACTGCAGCAACCGAACACTGCCGTCTCATCAGCACTCCTCCTCTTGCTTTTTACGCTGTTGCTGCCTCGCTGGTTGTATTTATAGCTGGAGAGACAGAGAGGGGGGGAGAGAGAGAGGGTGTCAGGCTGATTGCATAATGCTGACGCTTGGTCCCTCCAGCCGCTGCAGGTACCGGGTTACCAACTCGTGATGCCTGCTGCTTTGCAATCTGCAGTGGCGGAC